ATGACCTTGGGGACGAAGTGGGCCGCGGCCATTTCGGCTACACTTGCTCTGCCAACGCCAAAAAGGGCTCCCTCAAAGGCCACCAAGTGGCTGTCAAAATCATCCCCAAATCAAAGGTTTAACACAACTTACTTCTCTACTTTTCAACTCATATTACCCTATGCGGTTCTGAGAATGTCTGTCATCGTCTTGAAACGGGACTGCATTACGAGGTTTATTACTGCAAAATTGTTATGGATCATTTGTATTTTTAGTAACTTTCTGGTATCTAATGCGGGGAATTTTGAGGTTGAGGACGTATATTCACAGGATTTTTGCTTTAATGAAATGCTCGTGGAGCCCCTTCTTCTTTATTTGCATTTAAGGTGATTGTGTGTGTTCTTAACCCCAACAACATGTTGATGTTCCTCTGTCTCTTGTATGTTGGGGACTTGGGACCATTGAATTTGTATAATGCACTCTCTTTTCTTCTTATGGATATTAATAATTAAGCTTCAAAACGTTGTTTTCTTTGCCAATTCTGCTACAGGTTCTGCTAGAATTGAACTTCAATTCTATGTAATTTAACTATAACTGTTCCTGCCAAGCTTCTGTGACTGGTTCATGATATATTGATTCCCTAAGAATTACTAAAGATAGAATGCATTCTCGAATTTGAAATCCTTACAGGCTGTTAATGCGAACATTTCTTTTTCTTTCTTCTTCCCAAGAATTCTATATGAACAACATGGTTTGTTTTGCAAATTAGTGTTGCGAATTTGGAGACGAATTCAGGATTGTGTTTTGAACTTTCGAGTAGTTTTCTTGTTCTTATGGAGAAGAGAAAATAACGTGCAGATGACTACAGCAATAGCTATAGAAGATGTGAGAAGAGAAGTGAAAATACTGCGAGCACTCACCGGACATAAAAACCTGGTGCAGTTCTACGATGCATATGAAGATGAAGATAATGTCTATGTCGTGATGGAGTAAGTTTACATTGTGCCTACCAGAAAGGAGATAGTATCGAATTAGTGTCTAAACCTCAGTCATAGAGCATGGGATGAGTGATTTTTATTTGTTTTCTTCACGCAACCATTTTATTTTATGATATTTTCTGTTCAGGTTATGCGAAGGAGGCGAACTTCTCGATAGGATACTTTCGAGGTATCCTTTTTATCCTTGTATGCTTCTAACCAAAATTACAGAGAGAGAGTTGCTCTGGCTTGTTTTTGGGTTTGGATTTCTTAGTTGTTGATATTCTTTTGGATTCTTTAGGGGTGGCAAGTACTCAGAAGAAGATGCAAAAGTTATTATGGTTCAGATTTTGAGTGTGGTCGCCTACTGTCATCTCCAAGGCGTGGTTCACCGTGACCTAAAGCCTGAGGTAAACCACGAAAAATTTTGCTTATTTGAATTGATTTTTGTTAAAAGTATTACATCAACATAGATTTCAGAATTCTTTCCTAGAAGTAATTTAAAATGTGGACGATGATGTTGCCATCACTTGTTGTTGTGCTACATAATCATATATTCCCGTAACGGAGTTTCTGAATTTGTCGCTTGGAATCAAGTTCAAGCCTCTTAGGGTCGTTTGATCATGTTTTTGTTACTAATTTCTAATTTTTGAGGAACATAGGTGTGAAACAACTGTTATGTGTTTTTCATTTCTCTTTTTTTAACAAAATTCTCAAAATTATATACAAATTTTAGAAAAAAGAAATTATAAATTGAAATTTTAAGAAACATAATATATATATATACATAAAGGAAGCAAATATAACATATAATTTTGGATATTCTATTTTAAAAACAGTTATTTTTACCTGTAAAATTTTTAATTTTTTAAATTTATAATTTGAGAGAACAAGAAACCAAAATAACATTTATAATTTGAGAGAACAAGAAACCAAAATAACAGCCAAACATTTTTTTTCCTTTCCTAAAAAATCAGGAAACAAGAAACAAGAAGGACCGCATTTTATTATTTTATCTTCATGCGTCATTCTTTTTGCAAAAGAAATTGGGTCCTACTACTACATTGCTTATATTGATAATTCTGTATTAGATCCTTAGCCCATTTTTCAATTTACCGCTATTCAGTAAGTTAAAACTTGAATAATGCTTCCTGGAGCATAGTTTTTATATGAAGCAGTAGAGAACCTTTTTCTTCTCTTTTATCTTTTTTATTTACTTATCCATGAAGTTGTTTGCAAGCAGGATGTAGTTCTTGCAGCATTTAAGGATATATTTATGCGTTTATAATTATATGATTATGTAGTTCTGTCCGAAATAAAATATTAGGAGTAGTCAAAGTATTATAAAAAAATAGAAAATAATTGAAAATATATTACTAGGCACAGCCTGAATTAGAGATAAATATGATTACAACCAATCAATAATCAAAATTATGACATGTATGATTGTTTCATTTCAAACAATTTTTTTGTTTGTGTCTCAACACTGTCCTTTGAACTAAACTCTCTCTAATTGTGATACATCTTTTGCCTCAGAATTTTCTTTTTACATCGAAGGATGAGAATTCCACTCTTAAGGCAATTGATTTTGGGCTTTCTGATTATGTAAAACCAGGTCTGAACTGTTGTTTTATGCAGCTTTCTTACTGAAGATAGACAGTGGATTTCTGACTATTTTATTCTTTCTGCAGATGAGAGATTGAATGACATTGTAGGAAGTGCTTATTACGTCGCTCCCGAGGTTTTACATAGATCATATGGAACAGAGGCAGACATGTGGAGTATCGGTGTGATTGCATATATTCTCTTGTGTGGAAGTCGGCCATTTTGGGCCCGAACAGAATCTGGTATTTTTCGAGCTGTTCTAAAGGCGGATCCAAACTTTGATGAAGCCCCATGGCCTAGTTTATCTAATGATGCAATTGATTTTGTGAAGAGACTGTTGAACAAGGACTACCGCAAGAGACTAACCGCTGCTCAGGCCCTCTGTATGTCCATTAAACTCTTCTCGGCTTTTCACCGACTTCTAGAATTCTGAGGGTCATTCTAAGGACAAGTTTTATAGCATTTGTTTGTTTTAATTTGTAAAGCTCAAACAACAATTCTTGCATGTAGGCCATCCGTGGTTAGCTGATCATCAAGGTATCAAGATACCATTGGATACAATTACTTACAAGCTTGTCAGAGCTTATATTTGCTCATCTTCACTGCGTAAATCAGCATTGGGGGTAAGTATTATCATATTTTTTATTTTACTTCATTCAATTCTGTTCATGGATTCTTATGATTTATGACTAGTCTGTGGTTGTTTTTACTGTTGCTCGTGTTTGTGCATTAGCCGTTAATGTTGTCCTTGCAACTGATTGGTTTGGCACATCAATCTCCCACAGGCTCTTGCAAAGACATTAAGTTCTGTTCAACTAGGTTATCTTCAGAAGCAATTTATGCTGTTAGGGCCGAACAAAAATGGGCTCATTTCCATGCAAAACTTCAAGACGGTTAGATAATTTTCTGATATTGTCTGCAATGATAGGACATCCGGGAACAATCGTAATGAGATAATTTTTTTTCAGGCTTTAATAAAAAATTCAACCGATGCAGCAAAGGATTCAAGAGTTCTTGATTACGGGAATGTGGTAATAAATAATTCTCTTCCTTTATTTCATTGCTAACATATCGCAGAAAAGAAGTATGGTAAGTTGATTGTGAACTTGTATAATGCTTCTGGCAGGTTAGTTCCATTCAGTACAGAAAATTAGATTTTGAAGAATTCTGTGCAGCTGCCGTAAGTATATATCAACTAGAGGGAATGGAGAACTGGGAGCAACATGCCCGGCATGCCTATGATATTTTCGATAAGGATGGGAACAGACCAATAATGATTGAGGAACTTGCCTCGGTATGCTTTCTCTCCTTCGATCGGTACGGTTGAGATTGAAGTGCTGTGTTTTCTGATTTATGTTACCTTATCCCCTCCCCTCCCAGGAACTCGGACTTAGTCCATCAGTACCGGTTCATGTGGTTCTCCAGGACTGGATCAGACACTCGGATGGGAAGCTTAGCTTCCTGGGATTTATCAGACTTCTACACGGTGTCTCTTCTCGCTCGTTTCAGAAAGCGTAGAATGAAACCAGACAAGATAAACAAACTCAAATTTTCACTTGTCAAATGTTCCTTGACCGGAATGGTTGAAGGGATCTGCGGTGGGCAACAAGCATAATATAATTTGATATCATTGTGGTTGCCTAGGCCTAGGAAAGCAAGCGTGTTGTGATTTGGTGTAATTTGTTCTAATTATGTAAGTTGTTTGTTACGGTGATTGGTGGTGGGGTTGAAATTTAGAGGATTGTACAGTGGAAGAATAGAGGAACATAATGTATCCCACCCCAACTGCTTAAAAACTGAGTTGAGAAGGTCAACTGATTATTCTTGGCCTTTTGATTGTAGAATCAAAAGAAACTCTTTCTTAGCATTTCAAACTCAATAACCATGCACTACCCTATGTATTTTTAATACGTGTTTGGACATATTTAAAGTCATGTCATATTCAGTTAATGTTTGAACCGCTTACCGGCTAAAATCTGCATTTTGGAAGTTCAATCAAATGAATGAACATCAATCCAAGTTGAATATAATTCAATGGATTAAGGTATTTATCTTTAACTAAAAGGTCGTGAGTTCGAATTCCTATTCTTACGTGTGCTAAAAAATAACCTAAAAGTTGATGAATGATTTGACTCTAATTCTTTGGTTTGTATTAATTAATAAATTATTTAATATTTAATGAGCCAAAACATGTTTCATTAGCACATTGGTGAATGTGATTATTATTATTAATTCAATTGAAATAATTAATTTTCTGTTAGTGTAGATAAAGAGTTAGTTATTATTATGTTAAACTCTCTGATTTAATGAGCAATAAATAAGTCTGGTTAGGGATGCTAAAAAAAGTCCGACAACTCAAGGAACCTGGGTTTGGGTTAGGTTGCTATTTTTCTGAATCCACTCGGATCCGTGCGCGGGTTCGAACATAAAAAGTTGGGTCAATCCAGCCGGACACAAAATATAAAAAAGTAATTTAGTATTTTATTATTATTATTATTTTAAGGAATATATATAGCTTTGTTAGATTCTAGGGTTTTGTTTTTCTAATCTTTTCAGTATTGCGCCTCATTCAGATTTCTCTCCGTCACGATTCGATCTTTATCTCCCTTTGCATTAGCTGTGTTCTCTTCTTCTTGTTCATAGTCATCGGTAGAAGCTAGTTGCCTGTTCGTCGCTGCTGTCTTCCACCGTCAATCGCCGTCCGTTGCCATTGTCTTCCATCGTCGTCGGCCCGTCGAACAGAAGTAGATCACTTTCATTTTTCTCGTTCTCACACATGCCCACATGCACATCAAAAAAAAAAAAAACCCAGAATCTGATTTAGAGAGATTCTCAAGAAATTTCATCGATCAATCTCTGTTTTTGTTAATGTTTTTATTATGGGGTGTATTTTCGTCTTCTTGAGAACTGATTTCTGTAAAATTATTTGGCCAATTTTAAATGTGAGAGCCTTCTGCTGAGCATCCCTTTATTGTTTTTGCATCAAATCTTGTTGGTTTTTTTATTCATGTTTTAGTTCTATGCTTAGTGGGTTGCACTAGATTTTATGAATTCCTTTGTTTTTGCCACGGTTTTCTTGCTGATTATGCCAAAAAAAAAAAAAACAACCCGAGAAGTCAACCCAACCCAATCCGTGAACACCCATAACTTTAACTTTAATCTGAGGTATTATGCTCTGAAAATGCTCAATCACAAATGCAATTTAAATTTCAAATTTGAACTTATAAAAGATTAGATAAAATAATGTACCACGAAACGATAAATAAAGAATAGAGAGAAGAAAACTAAATGCCGGATTTATATTGGTTTACCCAATATGGGTTATGTCCAGTTCTCTAAGTTTCCTCTCACATAGAAAACTCTCACAAATCACTTTACAAGGTTTTCAAACTCTCTTAATACACAAGTATTTAGTTCTCAAACTCTCGGAGAATTTCTCACAACTCACTATTTGTGCTCACCTATCAAATGAAATCTATCTCTATTTATTAGATAGTATGACAAAAAACTAAAGAGGAAAAGAAAACTTCAAACTAAATAGGACAAGAATAATAAAAAAAAAAAGAAAAATTCAAAAAGAATTTTTCCCTATAAGAAAAATATTTTCTCCTTGGTTTGACTTTATTATCTCAACGATCTCCACTTGGAGACAATGCAAGTATTTTTCTTCTCTCATTTGCACACAACTTTAGTTTATCAATAAGGACGACCTTGGTAAACATATCCGTTGGATTCTAATAAAATGGTATCTTATCTGTATGTATTTCATTCTAGAATGAAACATTGGATTCTTTGCTAAATGAATAGGTAGCATTCTGATTGTCACAATGCAAAGTTTCTTTTCTCAATCTCAAGCCAAATTATTCCAAGAAAGACTAAAGTCATATTATCTCTTTGCTTGTTTTAGTTACTTCAACGCACCCAACTTCTGTAATAGAAAGTGTAACTATCTTCTATAGTCTAGAGACATAACTAATCGCAGTATTACCCAAAGTAAAAACATATCTGGTAGTACTTTTTCTACCATCTATATTCCCCTGCCACATAGATGCATCTACACATCCTAGCAATTTAAAATCTAATATTTTAAAGTGCTATCAGTCATCTTCCTCAAGTATTTGAAGATCCACTTCACAACCTCCTAGTGTTGCTTTACTGGATTACTCATGTATCTATTGACAACTCCCACTATATGTAATATATCACGTCTTATACAAACCACAGTATACATCAGGCTTCTTATAGCTGAAGCATATGACACTCTAGCCATATGATCTCTTTCCTGCTCGGTAGTAGGTGAGTGCTCTTTAGATAATTTAAAATGACTAGCTAAAGGATTACTCACATGTTTTGCATTTCCCATATTAAATATGTCTAACACTTTATTCACATACTTTTTATGTGACAATGTCAAAATATCATCTTTTCTCTCGATCCTCATCCTTAGGATTTGTTTGGCAGCTTCCAAATATTTCATGTCAAATTGTTTAGATAATTCAAGCTTTATCTTCAGAATTTCCTCTTTGTTTGGTCATGCTATCAACATGTCATCAACGTATTTCTTATATCATTGTCTGGGTGCCTATTTGAGACCATATTGATTTATCAAAAGTTTGCATACCATTTTCTTTTGCCCGTGTACTGTAAATCCCTATGGCTGCACTATGTAAATTTCTTCCTCCAAATCACCATGACAAAAAGTCGTCTCTACATCTGATATGAACCAAGGAGCTCTCTTTGTCATGCCTCATGGACCAATTACAAGATCAAGAGCTCGAAAACTTCAACAAGCCTTACTACTTCGTGTCCAAGCGTTCGTGAACTCGACACGAGAATTAAAAGGAAGAYGTGCAAGAAGTTGGAACTATGAACTTCAATTTGGTGCAAGTTATGCATTTTTAAGTGTTTTTAAGGCAAGTCAAAGTCTACTTGGTCAAGGTCAAAGTCAACTCCATCAAGACAAGTCAAAGTCAACTCATTCAATTCAAAAACCAAGTCAAACACTCATATCCCTCATTATGGACGAGATTGCACTTATTTTGGTTGACTTTCCATGTTCTTAACCTTTCATTTGCTTGTCTTTTTATTTCTTGTAAGTTATGTCTTTTCATTTACAAGTCTTTTCATTTCTTGTAAGTTACAAGTCTTTTCATTTGCTTAAGACTTTTCATATGGC